CCACATCAAATATTTATAGTCCTTGTCTCTCCTTCTTTTCTTTGTACGTTGCTCTCTAGTAACACTTCTTATCTTTGGTGTTTATATGACCTATTTGTGTTACAAGTGCTGTAAAACTCTTATTAAGTGGGTGGTTGGCGGGTGCTCTGGTGTAGCTTGCTTCTTCTTTCCTATCAAACATAGATTTATCGTCCTAATACTCCCCTCTTTCTTTTTTATGTTTGTTACTCTCTTGTAACTCCTCTTATCTTCTGACGCTCATATGACCTTATGCAGTTGCGAGCGCCGAAAAACCTCTACTAAAACAAACTCTTACTAAAACTGAATAAAAAGACAAAATGACAGTCATTGTGCAGATGTGCTTCTCTTTACTCAAACTCTCAAACTTAATTAAGAGTTACGGGAGGCAGCCACTGAATTTGAAATGACTTGTTGGTGTTCAGAAGGGCCTTCACCCATCCCCGTTTCCACTGTATTATCAGCTGGCGTCTGTGGTGTAGTGTTTGGGTGCTTTGTTGTCGCACACAGAAGATGTGGGTTCGATGCCCATGTTGGGAGAATTTTCAGTGAATATCTCCCGTCTTTCTGCTGGGAGGTGGGAGGGTGTATCATCCCTCTCAGTCGAGGTTAGCCTAGATAGACTGGGTCGAAGCAGCCTGCCTACTAAATCATCTAAATAGTGTGGATGGGGGCGTAAAACTGTAATAGTGGGTGGTTGGCGGGTGCTCTGGTGTGGTTTGCTTCTTCTTTCCTATCAAACATCTATCGTCTTTATCTCCCATCCTTCTTTTTTGTGTTTGTGACTCTCTTGTAACACCTTTAATCTTCGGCACTTATATGACCTTATTGTGTTGCAAGTGCCGTAAAACTCGTACTTTAACTAAAAAAAACTTGAAAACTTCTACACTTTTATTGATTATCATCCTTCCCTCTGTATTATCTTGCATTGTTACACGTATACTGTGCTGTTGATCATCAGAATGTGGGTGATTGGAGGGCGCCTCTTGTCTCAGTCTTCCTTCTTTTCTTTCCCTCGATTGTCCCCATCTGTCTGTCTTATTTCCCCCC